AGACTATTTATCTTTGATATAAGGTAGTTACAATTAATCTTGACCATTAAATGTGAAATTGGGTGGTTACATTTATTTCATTAACCAAACTCAAAGTTTAAAAAAAAAATTTCAAACTTTGTAACACACCCAAACTATCATATTTAACATCAGATGTTAGAAGTAATTATGACCGCCATGTAGTAAAGGTAAATAGTCTCATTGAAAAATATATATACATAATTTCTCTCTAATGTTTAAAATCATGTTCTATCTCACCTTGCAAGTTAGGTTCTCTCCTCTTGATTATATCACTTGCTTCTAGCAACTTAGGTTTATTGTTTAACAACACACACTAACACACATTATTTACATCACTTAGCATCTTGCAAGTTAGGTCTACTTTTTCTCTCTCTTGATTGGACACTTCTTGCATATCTATTCTGCGAAGGTCTTGATTTATATGCCTCCAATCCCGAGAAATGTGGGCCTATTGACAAAGAGAAAGCTTTCTATGCATCTTTACAGCGTAGTTCTATCCTCTCTTTATCCAAATAGAAGAAGGTTAGAATTGCCCCAATCATAATGTCACGTTTCTACACTAATTTATTTTTAATTTATTATTTTATAAATAATTTTGACATCAAATTTTGGACGACTATTATGCTATTAAACTCGCACCAACGAAAAATATAAAAAAACTATTTTAATAATATAAAATAACCAAAATACCCTTAAAAATTTCAAGAGGTATTTTGATCATTATTTTTTATCAAAAAGTTATTGTTAATATTTTTTTCGCATTCAAAAAAATTATATTAAAAATAAAATACTTTGAGACGTTGGATCTAAGATCAAAGGGTGAGTGGCTCTTTTGATAAAAAATGAACGGCTGGATGGTAAAAAGAAGATAGAACTTCTATGCGTTAGGAGTATAGAAAGCTTTCCCATTGATAAATCTATTTTTGAGCTGGATTTTTTTATTTAATTTTTAAGTACATGTAATTTCTAACATGGAGTTCATGAATATGAAAAAATAAGTAAATTTTAAAACTATAAATAATAATTCTAGTAAAAAAACATTTGAACCCTTAGTTTCCATTATTTTTAGGTGAAACACCTACTTGCATCCATCTTTAAAATGGATGCTGTATACTTTTTTGACTGCATATGTAGTCATGCGGTCCAGTCCGCATGAAACAATTTTTCTTCTTCAAAACCGTCTGTCTCATTTTAAACTCTATTTTTCTACTGCAATCAAAAGAATCAGATACTGCTCTCCCACAATTTCAACTCTCTCTCTCTCTCTACGAAAGCAATGGAGATTTGGAATCTACAACCCAAATTAATTTGGACCTCATAAACAACACATTCCATAGCAAAATACGAATCAGCATAATTGCATCAGATATGCACATAATCAAAAGTTCCTAATCATATACCCAAACCTTCTAATTAAAATATAAGCCAAATATAACCAATCCCCCTAAAGGAAAGGGCCAAACACATCTTAGAGCACACACAAATCAGCAGTAATAGTTA